ATGTAGGAAATTAATATGTCGTTTATTGTGAATTAGGTCTGTGGTTAGCCAAGGTAGCCGCTTAGTGCCGACTTTCCGTCTTTTTACTGGGGCATAGTTGTTCTAGATTCTGAAGAATTTATTCTTCCAAATCTGCCAAGATATATTTGGATCGTATTGATCCAGGTCAAAATCGGATAAGTAATTTTGTAGGTCGCGCAAGAATATTTGTTCGTTGAAATGTTTGTAGTCGCGGTATATAAATAATAAGTATTCTCTACTCCGCGTATTTTTCACTTGTTTCCCGGCGGGATAACTGATCTTATATGAGGAAGTCCTGGATAAAGCATCCTATTGAATTCAGTAACCCGATTTTGAAGCCAGAACATTTTAATGAGATGAGATTTATAAATCAGTCAAATTCATGACCAGTCTGATCGTTTGCTGTTTAAGTTCAGTTAGACTATAAAGCAAATATCTTTGCCTATGTGACTTGTGAAATACAGTATAGCTCTCAAAACCTCTTCGAAAGAGTTTTAGAAGTAATATATGAACAACGAGAGCGAGTGTTTCATCGGGATATCCAAACACGAGAAAACAATGTATGAGAACACGAGCGCGAAGCGCGAGTGTTTTCATACATTGTTTTCGAGTGTTTGGGTATCCCGGTGAGACACGAGCTCGAGTTGTTTATATGGCTTCTCAAATGAATCGAGACGTAACAGAATGTTTTCGTTTGCTGATTTGAATAGAATTCTTAACCAAGCATAACGTAATTAGGAATTCTATTCAAGTAATTTTGCATGCTTAATTAAGATATTTGATGAAAACACTAGTGACTTTCATCAAGTATCCAAATGGCATCTTGTGATCAAATAGGTGATTATCATTGGCTGAATTACTCATGAATTATTAATGAATTTGAGAACGTTTTATACATCACATAATGAAGCTTATGGCGGCTATATTTGATGGACATTAGTTATTCATCCGGCAAATTTAGGAAAAAGGAGAGGCTACTGATGATACATTCTTATCTAGGCAATATTTGTCCTTTCCCACTAGTGACTAAAAACATAAAGGAAGAGTTAAGTAAGTCCACAACACCTGCCGATTAGATTAATGGTCTGGCCATCCAATATGGCCGCCATTGGATTCACTTATGCACAGCAGATGCGCTATCCATTATTTCCGCTCAATGGTTGGGATACAATTTTTGACTTGTTACCCGGCGGGAAACAATGCATTTATCTGAAGCCACGTGACCACAAACCAGCCAATTGCGTTATAGCACTATAGCTATTCTTTGTTTGCAATCATGTGACTTTTCATCCAAATGACTCATCACCCGTCAACTGAAATCCCAAAATTACGTCATTGCAAACAAAGAATGTAACAAATGTGTTCGTTCAATGGTAAATTACAAAATATTGATCTTGGAAGAGGAGACCCTCAAGCTTTAATTGTCCATGCATGTAAATGAACTTAATTGGTATTATTATATATCAATAGTCAAAGTCCCATTTTTCTATTGTCTTATTGGTTGAGAGCATATCACGTGAGAGTGACGAAATTAGGCTGTCTCCCTCGCAACAGCGCGAGAGGGAAACAATACGTTATCGACCGGCAAATAACAAAAAAATCACGTCATCACGTGAAGATGCGACCTTTGGACATGCCTAGTACGTAATTAAAACTTTCGCTTTAAGTAACTGCAGTGTAGCCAGTGTTTAATATAACGTTTTAACAATAAAATATTTCATGTATTTACGTTCATTTGTTCTTTAATTTGTTGTTTCTTTGACTATTGATATATAATAAAACACTTATTTACTGAGACCTCGGAAAAGCAGTGTGTTTTGTGGATTGTCGATGTTTCCCTCGGCTTCACCTCGGGAAACATCGACGGTCTCGGGTCCACAAAACACACTGTTTCCCTCGGTCTCAGTAAATAAGTGATAAGTATATTTTTATGATATGATCCTCAATTGTTTTGTCTTGGGTGCCTATAACCTGTGACTGCACGTTTTACGCTATCAGAGAGTTTAAGCTTTGCGAAAAAAAAATTAAAAGGCCAAAGAAAAATTTTAGCTATAAGGCAATAAAGAGTAAATAAACTTGCTAGTTTTAAAACTGTAATGCATAATTATTCTTTTGGCATAAGAAAGAAAGTATGAAACAAACAGGTGAACGGAAATTCTGCCA